AGGACGTCTTGTGGTGTTGGTGGAGGAAGAGAAGGAGAAGGAGAAGAAGAATAACATTCGAGGCGCGCTGCTGCGTTGCTTCAACAGTTAACATGCCGCATTTATGTACATACATAAATACATACATATGTTTGCAATATTCTACAGCTGAAACTTTGGTGAATGGGTGAATGAAGGAAAAACACCGTTAAAGCAATATGTAGTACTCAACCCGTAGATACCACAAGCAAACCAACAATTGTTAATATTTCACACAATTGCACTTGGTTATGTTAACGGTTATGTGCAGCAACGTCGCTGCTTCTGCTGCATTCGTCAGCGAGAAGCCAAGTGTTTTTTTTTCTTTTTGTTGTGTTTTTTTTTGTTGTTTGCTTGTGGCAGTTAGCAGCCATTTTTATGGCTGTTGACTTCCTCAAGGAGCATATAAATTTTCCAAGTCCACGCACACGAGCGCACTCATTCATGTACGAGTATGCATATATGCAATTACAACATTTTAATGCCGTTGTTATTTTTGTTTCTGTTGTTGTGTCTGTATGACCGACAATAAATATTCATGTGTGTTTCATGCAAGATTTGTAAGTTTGGTTAAACTTGGCTTATGTAAAAGGAATTTAGTGGCGAAAAGTGGAAAAGCAAGAAAAATTAAATTCGTTTTTGCATATTTAAGTTTCATTTTTATTATAGCCATTGATAAGAGATCTAAAGATTTGGAAGAGATATTAAATTTTTTATTTTATTGTAGTAAGAGCGAGCTTATGGAAACTTAAAAGAAATTAACGAAGAATTGGATAAAAATGTATATTGAAATTAGTTTCCACTTAATGGAATTTAGCAAAAAGCAGACTTAATTTATGTGGACAATAATAACGTATTTGGAGTATCGTACATAAATCTTGTGCTTTATAATCAAGTCATTTCATTTATGTAAGTTTCAGAAGGAGAAGAGCTTGACCTATCAAACTTAATACCGATTGGATCAAAATTACCAATTCAGATGATTTAGCCTTATTCGTCTGTCCGTCTGCTTGCATGCAAACTGCTCCCTCAGTTTTGGATAAATTTCCTCCAAGCTTGGTAAACAGGCATTTAGAAAATAATTTGTTGCACATCTAGAACGATTTTTAAAATGCCATATTTTGAGCTATACAAATGACCAAAATAAAGAAACAAATATACTTGTATGACAGTCTGCAACTAGAAAGCGAACCTTATCGAAATCGAACATTTATAACATCCGAGTATACGAGAGGATTAACAGAAGTTCGGCAAGCTGAGCACAAAAAAAAATATTATATAAAAAGTAGCGCCAAAAATCCTCTTTCTTCCTTTTTTTCCAAAAAATTTTTGAAAATTTTTGTTAGCACTCTTTGGTATACTATTTTGCACTTAACCTCTGACCCCTTTCCAGTGGAATAGCAGCTACGATTTTCGATCGGGCGAAGTAAACTGGCATCATTACTTTTGCTGCTCATTTTTGTTGCTTAGATTTTACAGGTGGTTTTGCTACTTTTGGGCTCCATACCATTGGTTTCTGGTTCGCTTTTTATAAAACCAAGATTAGTCACCAGTAATGACTTTACTAAAGTCGCTAGACTGAACATTTTCGAATTTGTTTAGGAAAAATTTAATAAAATGCATTCGAGCCTCGTTTTGGGCTCCGCTTAAAATTCTTGGTACCGCGATACTGCCAAAGCATTCAAGCCCGATTCATTAGCACTCATTTCTAGTGTTAATCGTGGCTCTTTGTCATTTATGTGCTTCACCAAGGCTACAGTGACATCATTATTGTAAGATTTTGGTCGAACTTTTTGGGGGTTCTTCTGGTCTGGAATCCTCAGAATCACTTTAGTCCTTAGTCAAGAGTTTTTGAAGACTGTGCGATCGTTCGATATGCAATTTGGCATTCACTGAATATTTGTATTGACTGTAATTCACATCAAAACCCGAGAAGAATCACGTGGTGAATGAGATGAAATCACAAAATCATCGAAATCGCAAAATTTTATTTTCGAAACCGCAAAATGTATAACCTTGCCCAATTACGGTTCGAAATTTAAGTTTGAGAAGTTCATAACATACGATAAATTTCCAATTTTTGGGTACCAAAGTGAAGATGTAGCCCCCTCCAATAAATTTTGCAGATATGAAGAGATAAAAAGATACATCACAAAATGGAAGACAACTCTTCTTTCTTGTTAACAATTTATTCCTTGTTATTATATTTTAAATTTTCCAAGAGGCGAGAACCCTTTTCTCAAATATTTTCACATTATGCTTGTCTTTAAAAACTCCACTTTGGTACGTTGAAAATTTATCTTATGTTATCATTTTTTTTTTTCATTTGTTCAATTTGTTTATTATAAAGTTTGTGGATTGGCATTTCAGGGTCCGGCACTCGTCTTTATTGTATGAATGATATGCCGAATACAAAGCTATATTGTTTTATTATTTATTAATTAAATTAAATTATTCTATTATCCATGAATTATCTCTGGAATAATTAGGCTAGTCCAAGAAGACCAAAAAATATTTCCCTATGGAAACCCATTACTGTTATCTGTCTTAATTTTATACATTCAAAATATTTCGACTTCCAACCACATATGATGAAATTATAATGAAAGATTATTGAAATAAATTTAACAAAAGCAACTGTCAAGGCGACATTCATAACTTCACGGGGTTGCAATAGTAAAGAAATGAAAAAGCAACGCCACTTAGATATTAGTACTGCTAAATCGAATGTCTATAGAGACGAACCCGCTTCAATCGACGCATTGGAGGACAACATTGAAGTGTTTATTCGCCAAAATGTTGGAAAGGGTGGCTCTCAAAATATCACTCTTTTTAAATATAATAGAAAATAGGCGGGTATTTTATATGCACAAGCTTTAGGAGGGGTTTGAAGAGGCCACTGTGTTCCATATTGCTGAGAAAAATTTAAGAAAATTATTAAATAAGTATTTAACAGGAAGTCGGGAAAATGAGAATGAATTTATCATATCGTTAAATTCACCTGCCGGTTTCGTGATCCTCTCATTCAGAGGCACTCAAAAAAAAAAAACTGCCATAAATAAAAATGAATGTTCTTTTATTTTTATTATTGAAAATTGAAAAAAGTAATAAATTACAATCACAAAAAAATAATAACAAAATTAGCAATAGCAACTAGACCATCGGCTTATAATTTAAAAATTGTTTTGTAAAAAATATTTATTGAGATTGAATTTATATGCAACGAAAGAAGTGACGGGTTGGGTGTGGGTTTAAAATATCATTACAAGTCCTCCTGTGTCTTCTTATGGCAGAAATTAAATTTAAATACAATTTTTCGCACACATGGCTCGGCAATCGATTCAATGTAGTATTACAATAGATTCTATAGAATTTTTTTCATTAAGAAGAAATGAGAAAAAACTTTCCGATTCGGAATATTCAGGTTTTCAGTTAAAAGTTTATATTTCCCTTCTAATAATTGTTGGTCTTTTTCTATTTTTTTTTTTTTTTTTTTTTGTTTTTTTTTGGTTTAGTAGTCATTTCTTTCAGAAGAAATGAAATATTTAATGACAAAAATTAAGACACATTTTTTTTTTATTTTTAATGAATTTTAATTTGATTTTTTTGCTTGAAATAATAATAATTTTTTTTTTATATTATTGGAAAAATTCTTTTTAACTCTCCATAACAAAAATAAATTTTGTATTGGTAATACAAATTGATTCGGTCGATTCTCAACAGATAGCTGTACGTTTCAAAAGTGGTGATTTAAGCACCGAAGAAAAAGAGCGTGCTGAACTCACAAAATCATAGGGAGTGACTCGGCAAACAGTTTGCGTTCGATTAAAGCACCGCATGAGAAACTGTTTCTTGAGAAACATCAAGAAAAGTGAATTTTCTCTGTATAATTACAAAGTGGATATTTAACGCTAGAAACCAAGGAGAAACAATTTCACGCTAAGCCTAATAAACTCGTTCCATCAGTGGCTACATCCATGTCAAAGAAATACATCGCGGTTTAAAGGTCATATTCAGCATATGGTGAGGCCAGACAGGTGTGGTGCTTTATGAGCGGAATCATTCATGCGAAACGCTCTTGATTACAACCAATGACGTAAAAGACGGTCAGTAATGGCCGAAAAGTATGATTAGGTGAATTTCCAAAATTAAAAAGCTTAATTGTAAGTGGCAGTACCGACCAAAAACAAATTGATTACTTCGAAAAAGTCCGCTGTATTCAGCAGAGCTTACTCTTTCCGACTACAAGATTTTTCAAAGGATGCGACTCGATTTGGGGATTCATCGGTGCGGAGCTTTTAAACAAATCGAAGAATTGAGCCATTCTGTTGAATCGAGGACAGAGAGGACACATTTTTTAGAGTTGATATTGAAAAATTATCAGAGAAATGGTAAAGAGTCGACGGACAGTACTTTAAATACGGATTTTTTTTTTAATTATTACTTCAATAAAAAGGTCTTGCTTGTACTTGCTCGAGATAATGTATAGCGCATCGGTTGTCTCTGCCATATGGAAAGCCATGGCTCAAGTACTGGTCAGCATAACATCCTAAATTATAGAAAATTGGTTTCATATGCAATTTTGGTCGATCATCAGTAGGTAATCTCAAGCGCTCCGAGTGTATTTCTGACATAAAATAAAAGTCAGTCATAAAATTACACTGAGCATTTGGAAGCGACTTAGTAGGTCTTTCCGCTGGTTTTAAATCAACAAGACGTATTCCACAAATTGGAGGAGGAAGAAGCTGCTCCGAAAATCACTACTGCATATGCAAAGCGACAATAATATATTTCAAGCGATTTATTAATTTTATATAAAAAAATTAGAACAAAGCCAAACTGCTGATATCTTTCGTATGTATTATTGATGAACTTAGTAAAACCACTGTTAACCTTTAAACAATGTTTTTTTTTCACTATTTTCGCGAATTAAAAAATTTTAACACATTTTCTAATAATACATTTTTATGACGCTTCATTACCTTTATTCCTTCAATTGCACTTTACATATGCCTTCATATACATCCATATAAATCACACTCCATATAAAAACTTCATTGCATATTTATTGGCGCATAAAGCGTTTAAAAGTAATTAATTAACAATTTAAATATGCACCATTTCACTTGTGAATTTGCTTTTTCTTATTTTCGTTTTTTTTTCTGTTTTATTTTTATTTGATTTTTATTTTACTTTTGTTTTTGCTTCACTCAAACGCAATTAATTTAATACAAACAAATGTATGCATTGCATTTTTTTTAATTGCCTTAATTAGCTTTGGGGTGTGTCAACAGTGAAATTCATTATTGTGATTGTACTGCCATAATAGATATGAATTGAGTGATTTAAATTCACACATTGCGCTCTTGTGAAAACAGTAATCAACACTTTAAAATAACATTCGCACGCATTTCATTGGCGCTGCGCAAATTTATTTAAAACCCGAAAACCGTTTTATCGAATGGGAAAGAATTGACGTAAATATTACATATGTATATTATATGCTCTGTAAAGGCGTTCAAACTCACATAATTTTCAGCCGCGCACACAGAGACGCAGAAATAATCTTTATGATAAATACGTTTTGTTATTTATGATTTCATTGCCATTTAAATATCAACACAATAACAATAATAAAACAATATATACAAATGAGAGATTTTTTTTTTTCGTAATTTTTTTCTTATTTTTATTTATGCTTTAAGCAGCGGAGGCTTTTATTTTTTTTATTGCATTTTGTGTGTTTGTTGCATGTCTTATATTTTATTTACTTTTTTTTAATTTAAATTAAACATTTTTTTGATTTACTTTTTTAATTTGTTTTTATTTTGTTTGAAAGCTTTTTATATATGTTTACATGCTTTATTTATTTTTATTTTTCTTTATATTTTTATTTTTATTTTCATTTATTTTTACTTATTTTTTAAACTTTAATTCCACATACGCCACGCACTACCGGTCTAATGCCCTACCACAATAATATATGAGTGTAACTGTAGATTTTCTCCCATTGTCTGTTTGTAGTGGGAAAATTCGAATTAAACGCGGAGACTACGAGCTCTAAAGCGAACTAAAGTCTTGCGCGGCTTAAACAACACTAAAACGCGGCGCCACAGCGGCAAAGGATCTGAGTTGGTTGCATCGATGGCGAAGTACTAACATATTTTCGTACACGCACATACATACATATATACGTGTTGGGACACGAACAACCCGTTTGCTAACGATGATGATAGCAACCATGAAAACGATGGTAATAACGACGAGGATGATGATGGCCTGCAAGAAGCCAAGTGTCACAGGCAAAAATAGATGTGTCGCAGTAGCAGATGCGGCGACAGAGGACAGCGACGTTGACTGAACCAACGAAATAACGGTATTTTACAGCCTCCACTCTTCAACCGCAACACTAAGTGAGAGATATAGATGAAGGGAGAGGGAGAGACAGAGACATATAAAAAGAGAAATGTGGTCTGTAATTATTAAAAAATTATATTTAAAATTAAAAAAATTAAAAAGAACACAAAACTGGTTTGAAATTTGAAATAGTAGCCAACAACTGAAAATAACTTGAAATGCTCATTAGAACATATATTTAAAATATTTCTTTTTTTATTTGCTGAGCGCATTCAAGGCATAATAGAGAGCACGGCAGGATGTGTCACAATCAGCTGATTTCCCTTGGATTTCGAATGGCGCCAAAAGTTTGAAAGACAATGAGCATGCGCAAAATTTTTTAGCACCGAAAATTCCCAATATTACAAAATTAATTACTCATTGGCTCTCATTCTTTTCTTACTTCGTTTTTTTACTCTCCTTAAACTTGCTTTCTCAGAAACTGTTCGTAAAAATAAAAATTATTCAGTTATAGGCGGCAAACTTACTGTCACATACTCTAATGTGAGGCATTGGGGCACTCGGTCGTATTGATAAGACCTACGGGATAATAAAGTAAAAAATAGAAAACACGCAGGAACACTAAAACACCCACATGCCATAATAGCAACTCAAAGCATGATTGGTTGTGCTCGAGTTGTTGGCACATAATGGGTTATCTATTTGACTGTGTACGGTATAGATATGTTAGCCGAAAGGCTTTAGATATTTACATATTTATACATCCCTTAAAATTAAAATTAAAATTAAAATTAAAATTAAAATTAAAATTAAAATTAAAATTAAAATTAAAATTAAAATTAAAATTAAAATTAAAATTAAAATTAAATTTAAATGAGACACATAAAATTTCGATAAGAAAAATGTTTGAAAAATACTGTCATAATGTTTCTATTTTATTTTTTTTTGTAAATGCAAAACAAACCCTTAATACAGACATGTGAGATTGAATTGAGTTTAGAATCTTACGCATAATTACAAGTAAATTACTGATTGCACAGACATTAAAAATCTCTACGTTTGAATAGGAAGTATCCACATACGTATATACTGAAGATTGAATGTTTGCCTGACGATAACAATGTTAGCACTTTGTAGCTCACTAAAGGATTTTTAAATTCATGTTTGATATTATTTAATGATATTGAAATAGTTTTGTTTTTGCTATTTTTCTAGGTCACCAAAGCAAAAGATAACTCTGCTGCTGTAAAATGTGCCAACTAATCAGCCCTAAGGGATTACCAACTCAATTTGTATCAGTTAAATTGGTTATCTGTTATTGGTGAAAAGTGTGTGTGTCAATTGATGTCAGTTAATAAAAGTTTTAACTTTTACAAAGCAGTAGCGATAAAATTTGTTGTAAAAGCGTGTACACATGGCATCTGATGTAGAAATATTTACGTCGAATTGAGGTGGATGAAAAGGTAAATTGGTCTTTAGGTTTTGTTAACTCTAAATTACATTATATTTGACTCATATTACCTACATGTCATATACGATATACGCAGTTTTCCTGTAAAAATGGTACTTGTCTCGACTAAATTCTTTATATTCGCCTAAATGTAGGCAGCAATGCCCTTAAGAAATTCTTAATGAAAAATTTAATGCCATAAATGGAAATATATTTCATTTTAATTTTTAAAGATATTCCTTTTGACAAAAAAAGCACTAGAAACTCTTAAGCTTTAATTTTTTCTCAAAATAAAATATTCCCTAATTTTCTAATAAATTTTTCTATCAAACAGTTAAAGAAAAACTCACTCACAAAAAAAATATTTATTTTTATGCTATTTTTGGTTTTGTTTTTACACTTAATGTCCCTTCTATCAGGTGTACAACTTTGCTTCCTTCGTTTTTTTTTCCAAAATTAAAAGCTTTATTGCGAAAAAGTACTTACAGATATATTGTCCTTCGCTAGCGACAACTTTCTCCCATCTTTCCGGTAATTTTCGGATCCCGGCTCGAAAAAAGGAGTTCTCTTTTGACGCTATCCATAATCAATCCATTTCTCCAATTCTTCGAAGGATTGAAAATGTTGATCTGCCTGGCCGTGTGCCATCGAACGGAATAGGTGGAAGTCAGAAGGGGCTACATCTACGGAATACGGCGGGTGGGGCAAGACTTCCCATTTCAGCGTTTCCAGGTACTTTTTTACCACTTTTGCGACGTGAGGCCGAGCATTGTCGTGTTGGTGGATGACTTTGTCATTTGTCATGTCACTCTTGATATTATGGCCGCTTTTTTTTTTTTTTTGTTTTTGAAATGGCTTGCTGACTCACTCCCAACGATTCGGCAAGCTGTTCTTGGGTTTGGCACGAATCTTCATCAAGAAATTTTTCTAGTTGTTCATCTTTGAAGGTTTTTTCTTTTCCACCACCATGTTTGTCTTCGACATCGAAATCACCATTTTTAAAACGTTGAAACCACTCCCGACACGTTCTTTCACTCAGAGCAGCATCACCGTAAGTTTCTGAGAGCATTCGATGCGCTTTAGCTGCATTTTTTTTTCGATTTGTAACAGAAAAGTAAAACCTCCTGCAAATGGCGAGAATTAGGTACATAAACGGACATTTTCGAGCGTGAATAATACGAAAACAAGAACAACTGTCACTGAAACGGCGATGACAATTCGTTAGGCACTGTCCACACTCACTTTAAAGGCATTATAATCTATGTATTTCAACCAGCCTCAGCCGGTACAGCCTGATATTTGTAGCGACTTTTGCTGTAATTATGAGAGTATATCAGTTAAAGAGCCGAAAATGTATATTTGCTTATAAAATTCATTAATTGCAAAACAACTCAACTTGTTTGGGTATGGTTTTATTTATGAAGGTGTTCCTATTTGAGTTGCTATGAATTAAAATTATTGTTGGAACTCTACTTTCCAACAGTTGAAGAAAATTTCAATATTTTGCTATATTTTATATATAAACTAGCTATGAAATATTTATATACCTTATATTTTTTTTCTTTTAAATTTAAAAATATATTGCAAGCCGAGCCCAATAAAACATAATTCTCTCCCCAAAAATCTTTTGGATGTTTTTTATACATAAATACAGAAAAGTTTTGATATTTAAAAAATTTTTTATTTAAAAAAAACTTAGTATTTTACGTCGCTTTTTAAATTCTTTAACTGTTGGCAACCATATAAAAATTTTTCTAATTTTTAAAGCGGTCTTTTTGGGAGTAAAGTTCCATAAAAATTTACTGTCATAATAAATTGGAAATAGGTGACAGCTCTACTTCTAGTGTAATAAAAATTTTAACTGTCAAAATAGTCCCGCCCGAATGCGATCATTTAACAATTCGTAACAAATGCTTATCTACAGGCTAACGACATTGACATTTGGTGGACCACAGTAGCATGCTATTACAAATATTAACAAAAACAAACATAAATGTAGTCCAGACATTTTGTGCAACACATTCATGTTGTTGGCTGCTGACTGGTGACAAGTGTGTGGCATAAACAATTAATGTATGATTAAACTTTTACCACACTACATACTTGCATTTGGGGCATCCCATAGACAAATTATTAAAAATGTTTTTTTTTTTTGAAAATTTAGATATAATAGCATTGAGAAAACATACCAAGCGATAAGTCCCGTGCGACAGTATTTAAAATACATATGTGTTTATAAATATAATATATGTGAGATGGGTTCAAAAAATAAATATCGCGGGCTTGAGGAGTCGGG